TTTTTTTTTTTTTTTTTTTTTTGTCGAATATGTCACTCCATTAACTTTTTGTTAATGAATGATTTAGTTTTAGGTTTTTCTCATCAGAGATAAACCTTTTATAATTGTTTTTTATTTGTTGTTTATATACAGTCTATTCATTTATTCGTTTAATTTTTCACTTGTTTGCCATATTGGCATGGTGCTAAATGATAAACAAACAAATTAATTCAAAAAAATGTTTTCTTTTTTTTTGTTTTGCCGAATATGTCACTTCATTAACGTTTCTCTTCCTTTATGGCTCTTATTACATACAGTCTAATATCTATAATGCATATTTTGATGGACTGTGATGGTTTTAATGTTATTTTAGTGTCGTTGATATGCTATCATAGTTTTTGTTAATATTTTGAATTAGATTTTATTTTTATATTTTCTGTTGTCACTTTTATTTTATAGTAATTCTCTTGTTTTTTATCTGTTTTTTTTTTTTTTTTAACTAATAATTTTTTTAAAGTTATTTTTATGGGCTTTTATGCCTTTTTATTGAGAGAGACGACAGAAAAGCACTGGGAGGAGAGAGGATCAGCAAAGGACCTCGAGACGGGAATTGAACTCGGGTCGCCGTGAGCGCAGTTGTGCTATCTGTCGACGCACTAACCACGAGTTAGTTCACTTTCAACAAAACCGAGTTAGTTAGCTTTCAACAAAATCAAAATGTGAAATGCTGCATTAGTAACTAGCTAAAAATAAAATAAGTTTAAGTTTATTTATATTCTATTTCAGTTAATGTTTTTAATTTCAAATAACAAACTTTTCTTCTTTTTTAATATATAGTTTTAATTTTAGTTTAGTGTAATAACCCTGGTTTAACTCCTAGGACTCTTTATTTTTTGGTTAATTCTTATTTTTAAAAAAATGTAATGTAGTGAGGCCAGATTTAGTTTTAGATTTCTGTTATCAGTGATAAACCTTTTATAATTTTTTATTTGTTTTTCATATACTTTTTCTATTTTTCACTTGCTTGCCGTATCAGCATAGCGCTAAATTATAAACAAACTAATTTAGTTTTCTTCACTTACATTTTTTTTTTTACATTTTTTATATTTCCAAAAGAGCTACTTTTTTATTATTTGATATTTTGCATTCTGCTTTACTTTATTTTTTTTTGTACCACACAGCACCAGCAGTTGAAAAAAAATCTAACTCTGTGAACTGTGATTGATCATTCATCAGCTGCTTCTTGCCCTATTGGGTGGTTATTTTTACTAAAACACACTGATAATCTAAAGACAGACTTGCTCTTTTCATCTGTGTTCTTTCCTCTCTGTCTCTTCCTGCTTTCTTTAGCAGTCTTTCATTGAACTTCTCTTTCTTCTATTCGCATTTCTTCTCTTCAGGATGAAAACATCATGAGATCATTGCAGCTCTTTGAGAACGTGATATAGAGCTACAGGAAGAAAGAAACCAATGAACTGTTGAATCTGATCAAAAAAAGGGGGAATAACTTTTACCCCAATCACCATGGTTACAGTTTGACATCACCTTGTTACCATGGCAATATGCCGACTGTTTGATTTACATCCCGGGAAACCTGCGTGTCCTTTAAACCCCGGTGTTTGACCTCGTTCTGTTACAGATGTGAGATTTATACGTCTATAACCAAAAAAGGTCCTAGTTAAAAGAGCATGTCAGTAATTGTGTGTCAAAGGCCCAGCGGGTTTCCAAGAGGTCCTGTAGAACCCAGTTGAACTCTTTCCATGGGACTGAATTTACTGTGAGGGATTTGACATGTGATGCATTTTAAGCTATTTATGGTGGATTGTGGGTACATTTTTTCCAGAACAACATCCGATATACTCGGCCTGTGATAGTTCTCCAGCTAATGTGCTACAGATATTCATCCTAAGACCATTTTTCTGTGTCTGTCATTTAGGTAGAAATGCTAATCCGGTAATATAACCAGTGGTTTTCTCATGATCCGACCCATCAGCAGTCATTTAACCGGCTTTGCAGAAGTTGCTTGTCTGCTGTGTTTGTTTTTGACAGTATTTGTCTTGTGCTCGTGCATCTGACCACTGCTTGCTGTTCGTGTCCATTATTAGTGAGAGTCTGTATTCATCACTCATCTCTTGTTGGCTTGTGATCGCTCTTAGCTCCGCCTACTCGAATATCTGCTTTCTGGTTGGTCTGTTTGTCTGTCAGTCAGGGTCATCAGGAGAAGATCTGATATTTCACCCCAGTATCCTCTAAATGTGGTTCTCATTAATGAAGTAGAGTGATTTTATTTAAATATGGATAAATTAAAGGCAGCAAATGTCTTATTTCTAATGATTTTGGGGTGAAATGTGACACATTGGCTTCTGTGCAGATGGCAGGTGCCATAGCAAACTTTAGCAGTCACTATATTTGTGTTTGTTTGTGTTACAAGTAATATAAAACCACTTTTTGCTTTATTGCGTTAAAGCTGTGAATTGCCAAAACTTAGTACTGTTTTATGCAGCCATAATGCCACCTTACTGTGATATAATTCAAGAGAGCAAAAAAAAAAAAAATGAAATTAATTAAAAGACAGCAAATTAAAGATTTATATAACTCTTTGATTTAGACAAATGCAACTCAACATAAGTGACATTCACAATTCAGTTGCTTCGAAATCTCATGTATATCTGAATGAACCTGAATATTAGTTGTGGCCTAATGGTTAGAGAGTTGAACTTATAATCCAAAGATCGCAGGTTCAATTCTCAACATTGGATTTGAGTTGAAAAATAGAGAAAGTATATTTCATCATAATAATAAACTCCTCATATAA